AGTTTCCTTTCAATCTTCTCACGGTCGTCCTTTGTCCGGTAAAACTTAATTCTCCAGTTCATTCCATTTTATGAGTATAGTTTTATTGAATACGGAGCATATCACTATAGTTGCATCTCAACATTGGCAATTTGCAGGTCCTATCTAGCAAATGTCAGTTTGGATCCTCACGAGCGCATTAAAAATTTTGGGGCGTGTTTTTATTACTCTGGTATAATATATGTGAACAATAAAGGAATTTTTGAGGTTTTAGTCCTCTTTTTCATGTAAGTAATTTGCCATACTCAATTTATGAGGTTTTGGTCCTCTATTTCGTGTAAGTAATTTGCCATACTCAATTTCTGAAGTATTACATATTATTGGGCACTACCTCACATGCGTAACGCGCATAAAAAAACTAGTCCAATAATAATTCTTAAAGGCCATATTTGGAATTAATTCAACTTCTTCTTTTTAAAACAATTTTTAAGAAGTTGATCTTCTCAATTTTTCAAAACTTTCTTTAAGGAATAATTTGGAGCTAGAAGTATTTCTTCACTTATACTGAAACACTTATATATCTGTTTTTGCTATTAGAGAAGCATAAACAATTTTAAGAAGTAGATTTAAACACCGTTGTCACCGCATAGTTTCATTTTAATCCTGATTCTATGTAGTTCGTATTAATGCAGCTCTTTTTTCTTTTTCTTTTTTATGTTAAATTCACCGCCTATATTTAAGCAATATTTCATGATCATTACTTGAGCTTAGGCTTTGTTTTTATGTATAAAATGTCAAATATACTCTTCTGCGTGCTAGTACTATTTTGAATCCATTATTTAAAAGGAAAATTTATGAAACATGACTAAATTGGTTTTGGAATTCCAACGTATCATATATGATTATTTTCGGAGCTCATGCATAATTTACATAAAATACAATTAATATAACAAAATTATTATTAATCATTGTGAATGAAATTAAATTTACACCAAGAGTGTGTGTATATGTGTAAGTGCTTGTAAGAATAGAACCACCAATGATTCTGATGATGCGGCATTTGGTGGGAGGCTTCGACAGTGAGCAATGATTTGAGGTTGGAAGGCTTTAACGCCGAGGCAGGAAAGAGTATCTTCATTCATGCTCCTCGATTTTTTGATTTTTATGATTTGTTGTTGTCATGTTGGTGTCATATAAAAAATCTCAACTAATTTTCAAATTTATCAATTTCTTCTTAATCATGATCTTTATTTATCAAGATTTTTTATGAAAGATACACTCAAGTTCAAAATATCGCACTTAAATACACTCACGCCTCACATCAAGCACTCAGTTAAGTGTTAAATAAGAATCAAAACATAACCCAATGCACTAGCATGAGTATCTACAAAATGCAAAAATCGGAATAAATAAAAAACACAAACATACTAATATAATATAGATATTATATATAGTTTGTTGCCCCTGAGTTTTTCAATAGGTTTGCAGCTTGGTCAAGGCCAAAAACGGATAACTTGGAGAATATAAGGAATCCGCAAATTAAAAGTGTAACTATTAAACTATGCTTGAAAAGACAGAGAAAAGAACAAGTTTGTGAAAAATCTTGAATAATATAGCTTTAGAATTTAATATCAGATTTTTCTTCAAAATTATCTCTTCAAATAATCACAACTTCTCAATAATGGTCTCAAAAAATATTATCCACATCATCAAAATGATCCTCAAATAAATCCATGGATAGGGATGCCATAATGATTTGAGGTTGGGCGACTTGACGGTGGACAACATTTGAGGTTGGGCGACGGTGGGCAACGTTTTCAGGTTAGGATGAGGATTTGAAGGCAATGAACAAATTTGAGGTCTGGAGGCTTCGACAATGGGTAATGATTTGAGATAGGAGCTTCACCGGGGACAACGATTTGAGGTTGAGTGAATTCGATGGCGAACAGTTATTTCATGTTGGGAGGATTCGCTCGTATACACGTATAAATGTGGACGATAAGAGTGGGTAAGGATGATGAGTTTTTGTTTGGAAATAATTGTGAAGGGGGATGTAATGGTAAATTTAATAAATTAACGACGGATACAACTGGGAGAATACCTTTGCAAATCTGCAGGAGATTCAGTGATGGAAATAACCGTAGGTAAAATGGTTATATTTTTGTTCCAAGAATTGACAAATTAGTATAACTGACGGTTTTTGAAGGGTTCTCCGGTGGTTCCGTCGGTAACTAACAATGATTTTAACTGTCGCCGAATATCCGTCACAAAACCCATGTTCTTTTATTAATTTGTCACGTTTATCACTCCTTTTAATTGAACTACACCTCATAATATAAGTGTGTGCACACACATATACTTCCCTCGTAAGTTGCGAAAACAAGTTATTACTTCCCCTTTTTACATGCTACAAGATGAAGTTTTCTTTCTATAAAAAGGTATCTTTTATAAGAAATCAATAATAACACTCACTACTCTTATCTACTTTTCGCTTTCTTTACATAAAGTATAGTAAGACAATATTTAGAAATATAAAGTCCAAACAATATTTTATCTTATATGTGTGTGTTTCAAATTACATTTTTTTTTGCCGGATGGAGGACAATTAATATGAGTATTTATTTATGCCTAGTCGTTATATTGTGGGAGCAATCCATAGTGAGCATCATACGTACTCTCACAACTAAAACACACTTGAACATTAACTTTTTTACAGAACAAGATGATGTAACTCGCATGTAAGGAAATGTAACTCACGTTGATGAGAAATGCAACTAGAGACAAATTCAAATGTAATTTTCTAATACGGAGTATAAAAAATCAAACATCGATTTCAATGTACACAATGAAAAAAGAGCTTAATTATTGCTCAATTACTTTACGCAAATAGTGAATATGATTTATTTTTAATATTATGGCTATAAAAATGATTTAATATTTTTTTTGTTTCTATAGAGGTTTATTTTGTTATATAACTCATGTTATGACAATTGTAGCTTGCGTTGATGGAAATGTAACTTACGGTGTATGCAAAATGTAACTTAATTGTTGAGGAGAGTCCAAATGTAACGCACATAAGAAGATGGAAATCGTGCATAAAAAAATATAATTACACTACACCATAAATGAATTATAGCAACACTAATTTAAAGTGTTCGCTTAAAAAATGTAGATATCCATTAAATGAAACACGGCTAACGCATCATTAGTTTAGAAGTGTTGCAATAGATAATGATGTTGCTTTAGTTTTTCTAGATAATGATGTTGCCCTAGCCAAAGTTGTTGCAACACATTTTGGTTTGTTGCTATAGACATCTATGGCAACGGCCAAAATTTCAACACTTTTAAAATTGGAAAAGTGTTGCCATAGACTCCTAAGGCAACACATTATGGTGTAATGCAACATTGTTCAAGTGTTGCCTTAAGCCATTTATAGTGTAGTGAATTACATGATTATGTAAATCGCGCATAAGAAGACGTAACTTACACACATAAAGGTGTAAAACGTGCATAAGAAGATATTACTCGCGCACATAGATATTACTCGCGCACATCACGGTGAAGATGTAAATCTTGTATAAGAAGATTTAACTCGCGCACATTAAGATGTAAATTGCATATAAGAAAATGTAACTTCATATATTATTAAGTGTAACTAACATCAAGAATCGAAATACACAAATTCAATGTCTTCAAAACCGTCTAAAATTTTTGTCAAGAAAAATCTCTAAAACATAATAAAGAGAAAAAATATTATCGGAAAAAGTGTATGAATAGAAAAAATATATTACAATAATTCTATGAATATAAAAGTATTACAAAAATAAAAAATAGTATATGAATATGAAATGTGACGTACTTATTTATTTTGATTAACAAAAATTTTGTTACGAATTGATAAAGAATAAAAAATAGATTGATTTATAGTTTAAGTTGAAGATAGCGAAAAGTAAAATTACAATTACGTTTTAAGTATTTTGATGGGAATGGGAAAACAATTGAAGAAGAAAATAAAGAAGAATAAGCTAAGTAAATGATACATAGTGCATTCTGGGGATGTAAAGTAAATGATACATATTGCATTGTGGGGATGTAATCATGTAAAATAGAAAGTTGAAATATATGCTAGTGAGATTGGTGGTATACTAGTCGCACTTTATAACGATTACAAGGTGTAATTTGCGATTTATGCCGGGAACACGTTTTGTAGAGCATATATGGAATTGGATGTTGCTAGCTACCTCAAAAGAAGGATTTTTTTTGTTAGTACATCAACTTTGACCTTATGTTGTATCGCTTTTTTCTTTAAGCCTTATCTAGTGTCTTTCTTTCCTTTTAAATAAAAAATATTGTTGTTCTTCCTCTGGTTTTGACATATCATTTGCACATTTACATGATTATAAAAGTACTCTTACCCCATCAATTAATGAATGTTAATAGTTTCAATTATGTTTATAGAAAATTATAGATTTGATCTCGTATCTTTGTTTCTGTATGCTTTTAGTACTGTAAATTTATTCATATCACTTGCAAATCTCGTATAAATGTGTACACACATATTAAAGATCTTTTCAAAGAAAAAGTACACTTTTTAATACTATAAAATTAACCCCGATACATCAATTTTGGTATGCTTTTTGCCAGAAAGTATTCCGCTAAAATAGTCTTTAATATATATAAATTTATCAATTACAAGACTAAATCTTTATGTAAGTAAACTTATAAGACTTATATCAGGCACAATCAACATTTACGCAACTAAAACTACAAATCTCCCTTACTTATTAAAAGTATAAAAATATCCCTCACTTTGTAGAATTAATTCCTCATACTCTCTTAATGAATTACTCCGTATATATGCTCTTTATTATGTTCTAGGCACTCTCTAATTTAGAAAAATATTTCCTAACCAATTCAAATGTTAGTCACTCACGCTTATCTTTAGTGTCAATTGTAGGCCTTTTTAATACGAGTACAAAAAAACGTATAAAATATTCCTTTCATAAGAAAAAATAATGTACTAAAAAAACAATGAGAATACTGAAATCGCTAAAAATTGCGGAGAAAAACTGATCGAAGGCAACTGCATCCAACTATTAATAATGATTGGCCACATCATGAAACAACACACATATATATCCACTCTACGATTTATTGGCTCAACGTACTTATGGATTCACAAAATCAACACGAGCCGATCGAGAAGTAGCGACTAAATCGCAAAATTGAGTAACAATTAAATTTTCTATTATTATTGATTAATTATCTAGAATATCCAGTCGCGCATCTTTCTCCACCTGTATAATTACACCATGCATACCACTGTTAACAACATATTCACATGAAAATATCCCTCTTGGGAATATGGGATTAGTATATATGCATGTACTAATATATATATATAGCTAATAGCTCATGTGTAGTTATTTAATTTATCGAATAAACTTTTCTTTACATAATCTATAGGATAGATAAGCTTATCTGATTATGAACTTTAGTAGTTTAGTACCCTCCATGCACTTCATATATACCGATATACGGAGTATAATATAGGATATTATATTATTATAACCTCCCATCTTTGCTTGTTATTTCATTTTTGGATTTTTGGTATAAAAGTTGTGTCTTCAAAAATGTGATGATTTCAAGAATGGTCAAATGTGATATGTCAAATTCTTACGCTGGTAGTCTGGCTCCACCGCCGAACATAGGGAATTTCCTGATATGTAAAACAAATAAAGATACAGAAATTAAAAAGAGTTTATTGATGATAAGTATGACGTTAATTACGTTCAATTTTATACAGCCTTTATCATCATGACGTCACACAAAAAATAATCGTAGTATTTTGGCGACATATTATGATATTAAGAAGGTATTCTTATTTAATACTTTGTACAATTAATTAAAAAGGCTCATGACTCATGAGTAAAAGGACATATATATATGAAATATATACATAATATATATACATATATGCATGAAAGAAGGAGAATTATTAAGGGAAATTACCGTAAATAGGACTAAAACGTTTGTATATTCCAAAATATGAATATCATGTTTTAGTCCCAAAACATGACTATTTACTGCCAAGTTTTGACAATACTAGATTTTAAACATGACATTATTTTCCAAATTTGACATTAATCAGTCCTATTTTGGGAATAAAAACATGAGAGTCATATTTTGAAATTTTCAAACTTTTTTATTCCTGTTTCGGGAATTTTCCCAATTATTAAATACTTGGTATGTATTTATCTATACTACGTGTAAATAAAAATGTTACCCATAGAAATCAGGCCATCTGGAGCGAGGCTTGATGTAGATGGGATGGTTGGGGGCGTTATAACGCTGGACAGAATCGGCGATCTTGGCATTCTCGAAAGCACAACAGCCGACGGAGTAGACGACGATGAGGACAACGACCATGATGATGTTGAGCATAGATATCTTCTGCCACTCTCTGCGCATGTCCTCCAGCACCGCCGCTTTGCAGGAGTCGCAGTCGTAGCACAGAAAGGACGGGTCGTTGTTCCACCGCTTGCAGTCCGAGTCCTGCGTATCCAACGCCGCTCCGTAGTTGCATGACGTTGGCGGCTTGCAACACCCTGACTACATTCATCCAATCCATATCCTCTTCTTATTACAGAGTATTTATTCCATACCAATTAATAAATAAAATCTTTAATTTAGGAGTTTATAGATTACTAATTAAACGCATACTCCCTCCGTCCCCCAATTAAGTTCCCACTTTCGTTTTTGGTCAGTCCCTAAATTAAGTTCACACTTTTATACTTTTCTTATTTGGCAAATAATCTACGTCAAAATAGTGTCAAACAGTGTCAAACAGTGTTCAAACAGTATCAAACAGTGTCAAACAGTTTTCAAACAATGTCAAATAGTGTTTAAAAAGTGCAAAACAATGCACTCCACAGTAAAGTCAAATTTATTTTCATAATTTGTATGAAGTCAAACCGGGAACTTAATAGGAGGATGGAGGGATTATATTTTTTAATTGAAATTTTCTGCTCATGTTTGATCTATTCAAGTAATCAAATTTTAAATATAGTCACCTCCCGTGTCTATAAATCCCGTATCAATATCAATACTACTATAATAAACGCCTTATGCCTATTTTGTTAGGAGTACTTTTCAGATATGACCTCATCGAACTTGTTTAAGACTTAAAATCTATTCTCTCTAAGCTTTGCCTATTCCTCTCGGATTTAAAACGCGCGCACTGACGCACTCACAAAAACGAAAAAGCATCCTAATAATGATCCCCGACGCCTTTAATATATACGGAGTGGAGTACTACTCATTTAGGATGTTTTCTCTTGGACTGAAATTTGCTGGTCTGATCTGGTCTGATTAAGTCTGGTCTGGTCTGAATTGATCTGATCTAGTAAATGTCTGGTCTCTATGTATTTTATAACTATTGAAGTCGGGTTTGGTCTGGTCTGGTCTTTTTAAGTCTGGTTTGGTGACTGAAAACAGTCCAAAAGAAAAACATCACTAGAGTCTATATATATGGGACCCAACATCACTGTCTTTTGCGAAACAATGAAGAGAAAAATTAGAACAAAAACTATTTAGAGAAAATGAACTGAATGCTCACAAAATACTCATTTGATTCAGACATTCAGTACTCCGTGTAAATTACTAATGATAGAGTTTAATCTTACATAATAAAATTTATATACGGAATACCTGACTTAATATTTACATATTCAAAAAACCTCCACGTTAGACTATACTACATTCGTTCTCTTTTAATTGTAACATTGAACTTTTTGCACTATTTACATATTCTACTTTGACTATATTTTATTTATTAATGTATTATAAATTAAATTTTTAAACACTATTGTTAAATTCTTCTCATTCTATCAAAACCTGAATTTTTTAGTTTTTTTTACTAATAAAGAAAGAAAGATATTAATAGTCAAACTTGTGAGTTGACAAACGTAAAATGTTGACTGTTACAATTAAAAGAGAATAAAAGAGAACCGATGAATTATTAAAGATAGAGAAAACTATAAATAAATCTTAAACTTTAACTATCATTCTTTTTAGTTATGAAGAAAACGGATAAGCATGTATGTGTATGTCTAGTAGATGTAATTTATTGTCTTCTAACTTTATACTACATTTAACTTTATATTACACCAATCCATTATAACTTTTCTGAGTGGTGGAGAGAGAGATGTAAGTTTAGGGAGTTGAAGCTTAAGCAATTTAAATCGTGACCAAAATTTATAATTTCAATATATTTTTACAATTTATAAATATTTACACACATATTGTATCTACACCAAAATATAATGCATATATTTTTTCTTGGAGGTTGAGGTCATCTCCTTATATCCATCAATAACGATGTTGTCATCTTTTATTTGTTTATCGTACCAAAACCAAGTTATTTTCTTTTTTAATCAATTAATTAATTGATGATTCCTTTTATTTCTCTCTTCCTCACAAACTTCAACCCACACCCTTTTTCTTTATTATTACGATAGTATATCGTTATGTCAGTGGAATTTGATAAAGTTATAAGGTACACAAGAATACACTATTTAAGAAGTACATAAATCTTGTTGTTTATGTTTGGTGAATCAAATTCTTTTGAGAGCTACTTTATACTTCTAAGATATATTTTGTAAACAATAAGTATTTATTTTAATCATAAATTGATAAATTTGAATGTTAAGTTATTGTAAAAAACTGAAGATTCTATGGTATGAGAATATAAACTTTGTACATATTGAGTCTCATTCATATTGAATCCAATCAATCAATCACCAAAGAAGAGGGATATTTACCCGAAGGGGTGACATATCATTGGTTTGATAGTCAGAAGGAGTCCAATTGAGAATAGAGGCACAAGTGTTTGAACCCCATATGCAACCCCTAATGGGCATCCAATTTCGAGGATCCGAAACCTTCATCCTCAGCCACCCGGAGTAATTCGGCAGCCGGTACTCCTTGTACACCTTCCCGGGAACCGCCACACCTCCGCCACGGCTCGTGACCACGAACCCGAAGATGGTCACGCCCATGAGGGCGGCGATGAGGAAGAGCATGACAAGGAGGTAGAGCCAGAGCACCCACGTCAGGCGGAAGCACGCGCCGATGAAGCCCGCGAGCGAGACGGTGAGAATGATGAACCCGATGGCGAGGAGCGGGGTCTGCAGGAACTTCTCGCAGGTGGTGCTGCTCCTCGCCATCCATAGCCCGGCCCCGATGATCGGGATCGATGCCACGAGAGTGATCAGGTTCAGGACGCCGATCAATGTGTTGCTCACGCCGTAGTAGAATCGGTCCATTCCGGCCATTTATTAGTTACTCTTTTTTGGACGGCCGGCGGCCGGAATGTCTCATAGGAGTGGAGTACGAAGTATATATGATCTTTTTTTGTGTGTTGGGTAGGGGAGGGAAATAAATTAAAATGGGTGACTTGTTATTCCGACACGATAATGGATTGGAAGTGGAAAGCAAGACAAATAATGGTAATGTACACTATATAGATATGTGTGTTTGTGGGTGGTGGGGCGGAAAGTAGCTAAATTGAACTTCTTAGCAACTAAGTAAACTTTTTTTAGTGTAAGTTATTTAGTCGAGTATAATAATGTTACAATTTCATATATATAAAAACATATTGTATTAAAATAGTTGATTGATTTGAATACTTTGAGGCTTGGTAGTGATATTGAAAAATTAAACTTATCTTCTTTTATATACGGAGTATTATGAGGATTAATTTGATAATTTTCTTTTCGGCTTCGTTTTGTCTAAAACAATTAAATTTATCTTTTGATTAGTTATTTAACAAGTCAATACACTTGTTTGAGGCTTTTGACTCTATGTCTAATTTTAGAGTTTGTGATTGTATTGATTATGTCTACTATGATGAATATTAGTGAGTTTTTGAGATACTTCCTCCGTTCCGAATTGAAGTTTCACTTTTTCTTTTCGGAATTCTCAAAATAAAGTTCTCACTTCAATTTCTTTCAATATTTGTTAACTTTTTATTATTCATTTACTACGTATCTTTTATCGTCACATCATATCATTCATTATTCATTATCTCCTTTATTATATCCATTTGAGTACTACATCTTCTAACTATTCAAGGACATTTTTGAAAAGTCATCTCTTTTTTCTATTCTACCTAAAAATTCGTGAACTTAAACTAGCAATTTTATTTCGAGAGGGCGGGATTACTTTAAGTCTGTTTCATTCAAAAAATAAAACTAGTGCAAGTATAAAGTATTAATCCCTTGATTATCTTTTTCGCTCCATTGATTCAGAATCGAAAATGTTTATACTTTTCCGCCTTAATATGCATGTCATTATTCACTAATTCACCTCACTAATCAATCAACTCGTAGTGCTTCATTACTTTTATAGGGATTTGGGCTCCCTTCTTTTCTTTACCATGGTGATGTAATATTCATCCAATCCAGATAGCTCACCTTATCACCTACACAGCCCTTCCAACTTTTCCTACCTCATGGTTATATTTCGTTGATCATTTCGATCACGGAAATGCAGGGTTTCAAGGTAGTGTTTGCATATGTTTCGACTTAAAAAAGTTATTAGTTCCGTTTAAAAAAAACTTTGTCGTTTCAAAAAATCTGAACCATGATTTTGATTAATATAATATTATGAAAATTATAAATTTATACTTTTATTAAAGTACTTTTAACAAAGAACATTTTCATATAACTTTTATATTATAAATAATTTCCGATAAAAAGATATAGTTAGTAAAAGTTTTTATAATGGAAAAGTTTTTTTGGGACGGAGGTAGTATTTATTTTAGTGCTTATAGAGAAAATGCTTTGTGGCAAAAGTTAATAGTCTTGTAAAACAAAAGTAATTCTAGTAAGAAAGTTAAAGTTGATGTGTCTAATAAAAAGTGATTTTTGATGTATCATTTTATTAAAGTACACAAAAGTCCTTGCATATCCTAAAAGTGTCGGTCCAAATTTAAAAAATGTCTATATTTATGAAGTCTTGCTGAAGTGACCGGATTGATTGATTATGCTGATTTATGAAAAAATTATATTCAAAATATCTTTATTAATAAAATAAAGAACAAAATTTATGAAAATAGCTAAAATGGTCTTCTGCAGTGACTCAATCCTTACATTTCCTTATTATTACACAATTCAGCGCGCGAAATCAAAAGTTACGTATTTGGTGAAAATCGAGTTATGAGAATGATAAGTCGAAAAATAGTGTCATTAAACAAGCCTTTAATCGTTTGAAGGTATTTTGAGATTGAATTCATATAGAAGCAAGGTTATATCAACTACCGGATTTTAGCTTTAAAGTGTTTTTTAAGCCGAAGCAGGACTTTGAAAGCACCAATTTCTGTTTTTAAGCCAACACTTTAAGGACAGCAAACCAAAAAAAACTATTATAATTTTTTTCTTAATTCACTTGCATGTTAAATTATTTCATACAGTATCGACCATAATAGTCACAATGTAATGAGTGTTTAAAACCGAGGGGAAGAGGGCCGTTTTAACACCAAGCTTAAAATTAGATATATAGTTAATTAACATGGGGTATGTCATCATACTACAAAGAATAACTTCTCAAATTAGACGATATATACTAGCTCGCTTTGATTCTCAAACAACTTCTCGTTTTCCCATTATTTCCTATAAAAAGTAGATTATGTGTAGTTGGGATAAGAAGAAGGTATAAGTGAGAGTATAAGAATAATTTTATAATAAAAATTTCAAAAAATGAAAGAGGCTTTCAATTGAGATTTTAGAAAAAGGAAACTGCGAACTTGATTGAGAATCGGAGGTAGTATATGGTATATATCTTGATTCTAAAAATTTTAAAACTAAATTTAAGACATCAATCATCACTCAAAGTAAAAGAAAATGAATCACGTGATTTAACAAATTAAAAGAAAGACTTTATTATTAGATAAATTAGTTAAGGTAGAAGACAACAAATTTACATAAAATCGAATCACAAATTGCTAATGTATGCGCGGGTACTATTATTGGAACATCACTAGAGTTTTGCCAATTTTAGTCCTCTAACTATTATGTTAGTGACACTTTTTGTACTCAGTCGTGATTTTTTTTCATTTTTAGTTCTCGATTATTGTGCTAGAGACATTTTTCGTACCCGTCTTTGAAAGTTTCTACATTTAGTCCTTTGACTTTCATAAAAGTGACAATTTTTATCATTCATCTATTATTATAGTGATAAGTCCGTATTTAGACACGTATTTGATGCGTGTTGAGATCGGATTTTGATGGTTTTCCTAGCTTTAAGGTGTTACAAGTCTCAATTTTAGCTCAAGTTATGTTTACCGGGCGTTGGTTCGAGTTTTGTGTTGTTTGTAGTCAAAATCAGGGAATTTGAGCCCGGGTACCGGCACTTGAGGAACAATCGGGATGATTTGAGAAGCATTTGAGAATGATTTGATAGCTTTGGAGGTCACCGGAAGATTCACGATGAAGATTTGAAGGAAAAAAAAGCTCTAGGATTGGTTATGAGATCAAAAGAAGATGAATAAAGCTTGAAAACGACGATCAGGATGACCTTCTGTCAATCGTTCAATCATATCTCTTTGTAGAAACAACCAATGGACACGATTCAAGTTTCATAGGAAAGCCAACTTCAAGGGCTACAAATCATATGAAGACACCTTTGCGAGAATCGGAGAGGAAGAAGGTGAAAACAGACGATGAAGTCAGATGATCTCTGCTGCGATTTCAGAAAGACACCTTCCACCGTTTTGATCATATCTCTTGATTGGATGATTCAAATCACATTCGGCCAATTGGGGTGGATAGAGAACTTCATTATCTACAACTTTCATGAAGGAAGTTTTGTCAAATTCGGAAGTTAAGTAGGCACGATCGTGCCCTCAAAGTCAGACACGATCGTGCGAGAAGAGAAAACACGGAGGAGTTACTGCCAGCCAGGCACGATCGTGCCTGGAGGGAGGCACGATCGTGCCTGCCCAAAATGCGCGTTTTTGCTCCGGAGGCACGATCGAAGGCACGATCGTGCCTGGCATCGTGTCTGGCTCCGAAAATCCTAATTCAGCTCAAATTTCACCCGATTTTTCTATTTAAACAGCCTGTAAACCCCCGTTTTCAAGGGGGGGGCTTAGAGAGAGTGGCTAGCACGAATTTTAGAGGGCTTTTCAGCCTTGTTCATCAATCTTTTGGGATTCTTTGTAAGTTCCACCTTTTTAATTAATGACAATTAATTCTTTTTATCCCAATTATGTTGATTCTTCAATTATGAATTGTGAGTAGTTTAATTAGGGATTTGAGATTGATGAAGGGGTTAATCATGAATGATGGCTAGATTCTTGTTGGTTTAATTGCATGAATGCCATTTAATTTGTGTTTGAATAATTTAATTGATATCTTTTGTAACCTAGAATCGCGACTAGAATTACAATTGCATGTAGAATAAATTAAGAGAGATCTAATTTGTTCTAGGACACATTCACACACACTTAATCGTTCGCTAAGAGATTAGTAGCGATTAAGGGGCCGTAAGCTCGCTCGTCTTGGCAATAATTTAGGATCCTGTCGCATGAGAGATCAGCCTGGTCCCCTAAATTATTGTACTCTACGCCGCGAGAGCGGTAAGAACTTAGTAATGATTAGCTAGGCTCAATTAAATTAATTTCATGTAATTAGGCCTGATCTGCCAGAAATCTGGTTACCCCGGAATCAATCTCTGTTCCCTTCGTCATTAATTAGAGAGAACCCCCTAGTTTAATCGTTTTATTCGCATTTTTATTTTCCAGCAACCAATCTCGCACGACGCTTTTATTTTATTTTCTTTTTAATCGCTGAATTTAATTAATTCTTGATTCCCTTTTGTCCGTCCCTGTGGAGACGATACTCGTACTTACACCACTATATTACAATCTTTTTAAGTGCGAGAAAACTCACATCAGTTTTTGGCGCCGTTGCCGGGGACGGTGTCGGTTTTAAGGGTTAATTAATTTCAGCGATAATTTTTTTTTAGTTAGTTTTCTTTTTGTTTTCCGTAGGATTTTTCTGTGCTAACCTTTCAGGTATTTTTCTAAGAGGCATGAGATGAACCTATTCAGCCAAATTCCTGGAGGAATTCCTTACCCTCAAACCTCCATGGAATATTCACCACATACGCCATACTCTCCTTACATTCCTCCACCTCCTCATCCTCTTCAATATTACACACCTCATCAAAATTACTCTTCTACAACACAAAATTTTCCATCTTCCTATTCTTACCCTCTTCCGAATACGCAATACTCCCAATCTCATTCTCCTCATCATTATCCTTATCCACAATATCCTCGGACAAAACCAGGCTCCATAATGGAATTTCTCATTCAAACTAAAAGTCCCGAGGAATTGGTTGATTGCTTTCCTAAAAGTAGCATTTGTTCCTTCTGTGGAGGCGGTCACCATTCATGTCTTTGCCCCATTCCTCCATACGACCATCCTT